ATTTGAGCCTTCTTTGCACTGGCCCGATAGCCCAACTTCCCCAGCTCCTGGAGAAGGTCTCCAGTGGCTTGCCAGCACTCAGCTTCAGATGCAGCTGCCAGAAGCAAGTCATCTACATATTGCAAAAGTGTGATGGCGATATGAGTCCAGATCCTGATTAAGAGCCTCATTGAACAGAGTAGGGGGGTTTTTGAAACCTTGTGGAAGTCTAGTCCATGTTAGCTGTCCGGGAGTTCCTGTATTTTCATCATGCTATTTGAAGGCAAAAATGTGTTGACTGTTGGGTGCCAGGGCTATGCTAAAAAAAGCATCTTTCAAGTCCAAAGTGGTATACCAAACATGGGAGGGGGGCAAATGGCTCAGCAAGGTATAGGGGTTGGACTGTGGGGTGGATGTCCTCGACCCTCTTGTTTACTTCCCTTAAATCTTGGACTGGCCTATAGTCTTTTCCCCCGGGTTTCTTAACAGAGGAGTGGAGTGTTCCAAGCAGAATGGCAGGGCCGTAATATTCTGGCCTCCAGGAGACGGTTAATGTGAAGGGCAATCCCCTTCCGTGCCTCGGAAGACATGGGATACTGACGGACTCGGATGGGCTGAGCCGAAGCCTTGATCTCTACTATTACTGGGGCTCGATGTTCCGCCAGCCCCACACCTGCTATTTCTGCCCAAGCCTGGTGGTAGGTTTGAATCCAATAAGCCATTTCAGGGGACCACTCAATAGGTTTCGGGGGAGGGTCCTGCAAGGAGAACAAGCGATGTTCATCCTCGAGAGACATGGTCAAGACTTGGAGGTGCTGTCCTTGTCAATCTGTCACTTTGATACCGTCTGGCTCAAAGTGAATGTGAGCCCTCACCTTAGTTAGCAGATCGTGTCCCAGAAAGGGGGCAGGGCACTCAGGAATGACCAGAAAGGAATGGGTCACCTAATGTCAGCCCAAATCCATCTGACGCTTGCTAGTCCATTGATATGCCTTGGACCCAGTGGCTCCCTGCACGAGACTTAATTTTCTGGGACAGTGGCTCAGTAGGTTTATTAAGGACTGAATATTGGGCCCCTGTGTCCACCATGCATCTCACGGGCTTCCCCTCCACATATATGGTTACCCAAGACTCAGGGAGGGGATCCGAGTCCCGTCCCCTCTAGTCACTGTCCATTCCGGCTAACAGGACCTGGGCGTCATTATTGGGCCTGCTGTTTGGTCCCGGGCGACCCTGGAGTTTGGGACATTCCTTCTTCCAGTGTCCATATTCCTTACAATAGGCACATTGTCCCTGGTCTAGCTTGGGTCGATCTCTTCGGGGACGTGTGGGGCCGGTCTGTCCAGAACTCGGTCCGGCCAGACCCTGGACTCCTGCTAGCAATATCTTAGCCATCTCCTTTTGCTGTTTCTTGTTTTCCTTATTCTGGTGTTACCTGTCCTCCTTCCGAATCCTTTCTTGTAGTTCCTGATTCTCCTTCCTGATTCTATCCTCTTGTTCTTCTGGGGTTTCTCGGGTGTTAAAAACCCTTTCGGCTACTTTCATCAGATCTCGGATAGTCATTTCCCCAAGTCCTTCCTGCTTATATAGTTTCTTCCTGATATCTGGGGAAGCCTGATTTATGAAGGACATTATCACGGCTGACTGATTCACCTCTGCTAGTGGGTCTAGGGGTATACTGTCTGTATGTATCGTAAAGACGCTCAAGGAATGCGGCCGGGCTTTCATTTTGCCCCTGCATTATTGCCTTTACCTTAGCCAAATTGGTAGGGTGGGAAGCTGCTGCCCGGAGGCCTGCCATAAGAGTCTGGCGGTAGACCCAGAGATGCTCCCTACCTTCTGCGTCCCCATAGTCCCAGTCGGGTCTGTTCAAAGGAAAACAATCATCAATCAGGTTTGGCAAGGTGGTCGGTCATCCATTGTCGCCGGGGACATTCTTTCTGGCTTCAGTGAGAATCTGCTCCCGTTCCTCAGTGGTGAATAGAGTCTTAAGGAGCTGCTGACAGTCATCCCATGTGGGACTGTGAGTATGCAAAATGGACTTGAACAGATCAGTCAGGCCTCTAGGGTCCTCAGAAAAAAGGAGGATTCTGGGCTTTCCAGTTGTACAGGTCACTACTTGAAAAAGGCCAATACTGATAGGTGCGTCCCCTACCGGGATCAGCACCACCCAGGGCCCGCACCGGGAGGATGGGGGCCCCGGTGGAAGTGGAGGAGGGCTCCTCCTCTGGGGTTTCCTCTCGCTGCTTACGGGGCCTGAGTCCCCTCACCGGTCCAGAGACCAGGGGTGCAGACGGGGAGGCTGATGAGTGGGGAGGCTCAGGGGGGCCAGCTACCTCTGGCTGGAGCAGCACGGCAGCGGCAAATGGCAGGGGATTTACTTCAAAATCTAAGTCTATCAAGGACGGATGGAGAATTGGTTCTTTCTGTAGAATAGGCTTTTTAGGGGAAGTAACGGGAATGGGGATGTTCCCCGACACAGCCAGTATTGTAGGCCGGTCTGCAGGTGACTCGTGGATAAATGGCTGCAGCCAGGAAGGAGGGTCCTCTACCAAAGTCTGCCACATAAGGATATAGGGATATTGATCAGGGTGGCTGTGAAGACCGGGTCTATTAATGATGTCTTGGACCTTCTTAATTGTGTCCAAGGAGAAGGTACCTTGAGGAGGCCAGCCTACATTGAAGGTTGGCCATTCCACTGAACAAAGGGTGTTAAACTTACCTTTCTTAATTTCCATGCCATAATTGCGTCCCTTAGCACGGATTTCTGAAAAATGACTCAGAAAGAAGGGTCTTAGGAGTTACCTGATCCTGTCCCATGATGATCAGGAGGGAGAGACAGAGGAGACAACAAAGAACAAGAGAGACAATTCCAGCAGACAAACAAATTTGCACAGGACTCTCTAACATGCACAAGTACCAGCCGGTCAACCAGACTACTCTCATAGGCGCAATTCCATTCACACCAGACTCTGGATCCTTACCCAAAGACCGCCCAAACAGCATCCACTGAGGACGTTGGCGTGGTTCCTGACCGCCGGAGATGTCTCCCACGACTTCCAATAGTGGAGCCTCCAGGCTGTAACCCCTTCCTTCCACTCAACGAGAATTCTCAACCAAATTCAGACGGGGACTCTAAGTCCCTCCAAACGGAGGTGGCCAATCCTCCTTCCGCGGGCTTTCTCAACTAAACCTCGGTATCGGAGGCCATTCGTTCCTCTTAGAGAGGGGCTGATATCTCAGTGGGACCTCCAGATGTTGGGGTCCGAGGTCGACCACCCTCAGAGGAACAAAAGACACTCATGATAATGTAAGCCACAAAGTGAGGTTTATTTCCAGCCAGCTGGGGTCCGCGTATCCGCCCGACGCAGCGGGTTTCAACGAGGACCCCGAATGCAAAGTTCAGGCTGCTTTTATATTTTTTAAACATTAGTCATGGTCACACAGCAATTTTTATGGCCCCTGGGGTCACATATTTCTGATGTCACCCACATCCTGGTGGTGGGGCAAGATTACTTGAAGATTACTTATCAGGAACTTGATAAACACCAGGTGTCTTAACTCATTGACTCACATACCATTTAGCAAGATTAACCAGAAACAGTCCCTGTTCCCAGAAACCGTCCCACCTCCCTTAGTTCCACTAAGTGGTGGCTTGGGTCATGTTAGCCATGGCCGGTTTCAGGCTGAGTGGGCTGCAAGCCTCGAAGGTACCCTAACAGCTTCTGGCAAAAACTCTGGAATCTTCCTTCACATTTTCCTCTCACTTTTACCCACACCCAATTGAGCAAAAAGTAATCTCAGTAATGCCTTAAAGCATTTTCATATTCAACTACCGGCCGGCAGAGTGGTTCAAGTGGTAGAGCACCAACCTAGCAACCATGAGTTCAAACCCCAGTACCAACAAAACAAAACAAAGCAAAACATACAAAACAATACTAAAGCCTACCAATTATGCTTGGTGCTGGTGGCTTACACCTGTAATCCTAGCTACTCAGGAGGCAAAGATTAGGAGGACTGCAGTTTGAAGCCAGTCCTAAACGAATAGTTCTCAAGACCCTATCTCAAAAATACCCAACAGAAAAAAAGGGCTGGAGGTGTGGCTAAGGTGGTAGAGTGACTACCTAGTAAGTGTAAGACCCTGAGTTCAAAACCCAGTACTATAAAAAAAAAAATTCCAACTACCTCATCCTTCTCCATGGCCATGACTATTTTGAGTCCTGTTCTCACCTATAGTTATCGCAGTAGCCTCACAACCGCTTTCTCTGTGGCTTCCCTTGCCATGCTTTTGTGATTTCAACAGAGCAGTCTTTGAACCCACACCCGTCTCTCTGGATTCATCTCTTGGACTCTCCTTGTTCATCATGACAGGGCCACTCTGGCTTCCTTGCTGTCGTTTGAACACTCCACGTTGCTCCTGGCTAAGAACGTTTGCATTTTGTCTTTCTTCCACCTGTAAGGCATTTCTCCCCTCCAGATTCTTCCTTCTCTCCTTCAGGTCTTAAATATCATCTACTTACTGAAGCCTTCCCAGACCACTAGATTTAAAATTGCAAACAGTAGCCCCCACTCTTACACAATCACTAGAGAGCCTCATTCCCTAACTTCCTTTCCATTATTTTTATTTGATGCATTGGATTTTTACTTACATGAATCAAGAACTACATGATTATTTTGTTTGAATGAACATTATTGCTGGGCATGATGGTATAGGCCCATAATCTCTGTAGTTAGGAGGTTGAAGCAGTAGAATTGTGAGTTTGAGGCCAGACTGGGTTATGTAGCAAGTCCTGTCTCAAAAAAAAAAAGATTAAAGATTGCAGTAATTCTAATACCAGGAATTCAGCATCAAGTAAATATTCATTCATTCACTGAGTGACTACATAAACATGTCACTTAACACATCAATATCTATTTAGTGTGCCTACTGAAGGTCAAGTCCTTGCCTTGTAAGGGCAAGGGTTATTTTTTTATTCTAGAATGTATGTGAAATAGTGAAGACAAGACTTTCTGTTTTCCAGGTTCCTGCTATAATGTTATTCGGGTTCCTCCAGAGAAGGGGGACCTTGGGGAGACAATTCATGGAGCCCAGGTGATATGTTCTATTGCTTCTTCAGAGGCAATGAAGCCGTCTTACTATCATAGCTTTGGTGAGTCTGGAGATAAGGTATGTTGCATGGGGCTCTGACTTAATGTTGCTGAATTAGAGGGATGTGTTTTGGCAAGTGCTATATTGATAGTTTGATACAGTATGGTGATAAGGAGACTGGGATTTCATTTTAATACCATTTAAGCTTATTCTGCCTGGTTGTGTGTCCTTATGTTAGCCAGGTAGCTGCTTGAGGAGCTGTAGCTGCTTCAGTATAAGCAATTACTAAAACATTAAAGAACAGTTCAAAATTTTAGGCATCTTTAAAGCCCACAAATAATAATCATACACAAAAAGGTCTTAACTGTATTTTGGAAGGAAATTCATATTCTATGTAGATTGTTTCAGTTTTTATTTAGAATTTTTACTTTGTGTGTGGTAAACTGTTATGGCTAAGCTATTCTATATCCTGATATAAATAGAAAGGGACTAAAAAAAATAAATGTGGGATCATAAATGACCCTGTAATATTGTGCTTCTTTACTTTGTTCCTAACCAAAATAATTTAAAAAGAAAAAGAAGTAAAACTTAAGCAGAGGGCATTCAACCTGAGCTATTGTTAGCAGTTCCCTTTTTTATATAGGAACAGGAAACACTGAAGTATTTCTGGCTAGTGTTAGTTTAGGTCAGCAGTAACATGTCCAGGCATTCAGATGGGCCCCATAACTACCTAATTTGCCAAATAATCTTTTACTGTTTCTTGGAACCTTGTAGGAATGACCAGGAATTACATAATCTTCATTGAACAGCCTCTAAAAATGAAGCTGTGGAAAATTGCCACTTCTAGAATTCGGGGAAAGGCCATCTCAGATGGGATAAGCTGGGAACCCCAGTATAACACACGGTTCCATGTTGTGGATAAGCACACTGGACAGGTGGAGTATTTTGAGTATAGTTATTGGGAGTATGGTTGGCTCCAAAGGTGAATTTCCACGTGACTGATTTTTCACTTTCACCAGACATTATTTCTAAGACATACCTCTCATGGCTATTTCCTTCCTCTGTTGGTTGGGCTAGCTACTTATTAATTAGTGCAGAGGATTTTGCATATTAGAGAATTGTAAGAAATGCTCTTACTCTTTTAATTTTACCTGATCCAGTTAAAATAGCACCAAGGAAACTCTTACCATGAGTTTTCCATATCATAATAGTCATGAAAGAGGACGTTTTTGCAGAGATCTGTAGTTGCTTTTGTGACTTCTTGCTATGTTAATGTGATAATTCCACCAAAGTCCAGGCATGTTGGTTGAATATCTTTTTTACTGCTGGTTAATAATTGCACTATTTATATATATATATATATATATATTTTTTTTTTTTTTTGCAGAGGTCAGAAAGATTTTATTTGTAGAGAATTTAGTAGGAGAAAAGAGAAGAGAAAGACTGCATATTGGAGAATGCTGGGGGACCCGGAAACCGGTGATCCCCTGGGTCAGGTTGGGGAGTGGGGTTTTATAGCCTATTTGCATTGCCTGATTGCAGGAGATGCCTTTCAGATGCAAACAGGTGTTTCCTAGGGAGGAGAAGTGTCTCCTTGACCACTTATCGCCTTTTGGGACCTCCCACAGTCCGTCCTTCATCCCCCCCTCAATGGTTGCCCTAACTGCTGTTAGGGATAGGGAAGACGAAGTCTGTTCAGTAACTGCTTCCTGCTGACAGGGGGCGATGAAGGGGCCCCACAGCATCAGGGCTGACCACGAGAGGGGTTGTCAAGGGGACCGCGGTAGTAGGTCCTTTTCATCTCCACCGTAGGCCATTTGTAGTTTGATAGATTCTCACGTGAAGGCTGGAGCACTATTATATTTGTCTACATTTTATCTCTCTAAGTAGATAATATCCTAAATTTATTCTACCTGAATTTCTTTACAAAAAAATTTAGTAAAGAGTGCATTTTTCAAAGAATTAGTTACTTAATTTATCATAAGTATCCAAAGTAGCCATGTTTTCTATTTAACTTTGTAATTAGAGTCTAGGATTTACTTATCCTTTAAAACATTGGACTGTATTTCATGAGGACTTTTAGATTAGTTGGAACAGTTGACTGACTTGTATCGAAGAGTCTCAGTTAATTGATTTATATGAGACAAGATGACTTAAGCAGGCAAGGCTTAAACCAAAGTGTGCTTGCTTCTGCGTTCTGGATTCTATTCTTTTATACCTGCTAGGCATGCCGTGTAAGGGGGGGTGGGGTGGTAAACTCTTAATTTTACCTTAGTAGATCTGTTCCCTCAAGGAAGGAAGAGAGAAGGGAAAGGAAGAGAAAAAATCTTTTTAAAAATCATTTTTCTTTCCCCTGCAGCTTCTTCCAGGGATGTACTACAGCAAACCTTTTGTTACTTTTCATCAAATCAATGCCTTTGAGGACCAGGGCTGCATTGTAATTGATCTATGCTGTCAAGATGATGGAAGAAACCTAGACATTTACCAGCTACAGAATCTCAGGAAAGCTGGGGAGGGGCTTGATCAGGTAAACACTGATTGTCAGGAGTTGTCAAAAAAATTTTGAATTAGTTAAGATCTGGCTTTTGAATTTCCTGTTTCTCTTGCCCCCTGGTGGCAGCCAGGGAGAGGGAGCAGTTTTAAAGCATGGAAAAAACAGGTTTGTGTATTTGTTTAATATTAGAAAGAATCTGGAGTAGCTTATTTAATACCTAGCAAATAAAAAGCATGGTAAAGACAGCCACAGTACGTGCTGAGAAGCAGTTGTGGTTAGCTTCACATTACACTTAAGCACTAAACAGAATCACATTTCCTAGAAGATAGAAAAATGGACCCTTCAGGTATCAGTTCATCTAGCTGGAAGGCACTCACTTTTTTTCCTGATATTGAATTCTAATTATTATTTCCTTGCATTATGAAACACAAACTGTCTTCATCTGTAATATTTTCAGATATGATTTTTATTTTTAAAACAGTACTTCGTAAGTTTACCTATACTTACTAAGCTTTATGGTAGGTCTTGAGTTGTTTATCTGTTTTCTTTTTTAAGATTGTCTGGGATTTTCTTGGCTTCTGCATTCCCATGATTTTTTGCAAAGAGAAAAAAAAAAAAACCTGATTGGGATCATGTTGAAAGTAGAGACCGATTTGATCTTTACAAGATTGACTCTTCAATCCATGAACACGGAATAGCTTTCCACTTATTTGAGCCTTTAATATCTCCTAGTAATATTATGCTTTTCAGTATAAGGAAATTATGTATTTTTTGCTAATTTTTTTTCAGGCATTCTGTGTACTTTTGTGTATTCTTGTATGTTTTCTTTGTAAGCCTTCATTTTATGTTTGCTCCTAGTATATAGAAATGCAGTTGACTTTTTATGTTGCTCTCATATCTAGAGACTTTTTTTGGTGATACTGGGACTTGAATTCAGAGCCATATGCTTGCTAGGGAAGTGCTCTGCCATATTCCCAGCCTTTTGTGCTTTCATTTATTTCAGATAGGCTCTCACAGTTTTTTGCCTTGACTGACCTGGACCACAATCCTCCTGTTTACACTTCCTGCATAAGTGGGATTACAGATGTGAACTCCCCACTTCTTTTGTTGAGATTAAGTTTTACTAACTTTTTGCCTGGAATGTTCTTGAACTGCAACAGTTCCAGTCTCTGACTCCAGAGGAGCTGCAATTACAGTAAAGATCTTGCTAAATTAATTCATAAATTTTAAAAGTTGATCCACAGATTATTTTGGATTTTTTCTGTATACACAGTTTTCTTTCTTTTTGTCCATCCTTATGTCTTTTATTTTTCTTGCCTTATTGTGCTAGTTCAGACTTCAAGTCGAATGGAAGTGCTGATTGGAGTAATTATTTTCACTGTCTCAGTTATAAAATGTTTAATAATGCACCATTAAGCATGAAATAGCTAAGTATTTCAATACCCTTATCAGATTATCTTTATGGTACCATTTACTGAAGAGACTATTAATTTAATATGGCCTAGAATATGGTCAGTTGTTTCCTTTATGACTAATACATTGTGTATCTCGTTTCAGATGTCTTCCTGTAGTAAAGTCATGAAAACATGATCATGTATTATCTTCTAGAAAACAATATATTATCCTTTTTTGGGGGTTTGAACCCTGGGGCCTACACCTTGAGCCACTCTATCAGCCCTTTTTTTTTTTTTTTGTGAGGGGTATTTTCAGTATAGGGTCTTGTGGAATTAGTTGCCCGGCTGGCTTCAAACCGAAATCCTCCTGATCTCTGTCTCCTGAGTAGCTAGGATTACAGATGTGAGCCAGCAAAAAACAAGGGATTATCTTCTAGAAAATAATTGAGTGTCTTCATCTGACTGTTTTGTTTCTGGACTCCGTCTCCCTCTGGAGATGTACTTGTGCCTACTTGTGTCAGTGCCACTTTTTTTTAATTGTTAGTACTGTATAAAAGGTGTTACTATTAGTGAATCAAGTCCTAATTTTTTCCTCTTTAAAGTGTGTCATGACCATTTCTGACCCTTCACATCTTTGTATAAATTTTAAAGTCACCTCTCAGTTTCTCAAAATGTCAGATTTTCACATCTGCTGTGGATCTATGTATCAATCTAGGAGAGGACTTACCTCCTTACACAATGCTGAGTCTGCTAGTCCCTGAACACAGTACATCTTTTTATTGTTTTGAGACTTCTTTAACTTATTTGGTGATTATTGCTTTCTAGGTATTGGTTTGCCTATCTTTTGTTAGACTTATTCCCAGGTGTTTAATATATTTGACATTATTTTCCATCTTATTTACTTATTGCTTTTGTCTTATGCTAGTTCTGGTGTATAGTGGTTGACTTTTGTTGATCTTTTGAATTTAGTAATGTAATTGCTATTGAACCTAACCACTACATTCATTTCTATATATATGTATGTGTGTGTGTGTGTGTGTGTGTGTGTGTGTGGTACTGGGGCTTGTACTCAGGGCCTACACCTCAAGCCACTCCACCAGTCCTTTTTTTGTGATGGGTTTTTTTGAGATAGGGTCTTGCCAACTATTTGCCTGGGCTGGGTTTGAACCATGATCCTCCTGATATCCGCCTCCTGAGTAGCTAGGATTACAGGTGTGAGCCACTGGCGCCAGGCTCTAACCACTACATTCTTACATTAATTGCCTTTCTCAGTTCTAGAATTGTGATTTGATTCTCTTTGATAATTTATAGTTCTCTGCTATAATTCTCAATTTAAAAGAATTTCCTCAAACATTCAGAATAAAGTCTGGTAACTCTTGTCAGGATTCTTTGTGGCTCTGTCTCTATCATCTACCATTTATGTTGGTGTAGATCATGTTGTCTAGTTTTTTCATATGCTGGCTATTTTTAATCATATATAGAACATTGTGTTTGAGAAATTTTAGAAGTATTTTGAGACTAGAATGGTGTTATCTTTCTCCAGAGAAAATGTTCATTGGATTATATAATTTGAAGCAGGATTCAATCCCACAAGAGCTGGACTATTTCTTGTTTATTCTTTATTCCTTTTATTTGCAGTATTGGGGTTTGAACTTAGGACTTTGTGCTTGCTAGCCAGCCAGCACTCTACTACTTAAGCCATACCCTCAGCCTTTTTGCTTTAGCTCTTCGTTGAATAGAGTCTCACATGTATGCCAGACCATCCTGGACTGTGATTCTGTCTTATTTGTACTTCCTGTGTAGCTGGGATGACATGTCCAGCTTTGTTTCTTGCTCACTCTTACTCCTAAGGAATAGACATGTTAGGTCCCAACCAACGGATTAGAAGTTTACCAGGGCTTCCTCCTCTAAGAAGACCTTGAACTCCATCTTTTGTCCCTGCACCTCTGAAAATGTCTTCCCATTAAATGGAGTGGTGAGGAGATTGGTGTGGCTATACCCTTATAAAAGGATAGCTTGAAGATCCTTGTGGTGATGGTCACGTGAGTTTACACATGCTAAAACAGCATAGAACTAAATGTACATACATACAAATGAGTGCTCAGTGAAAGCTGCATCAGGTTGGTGGATTGTATCAATGTAAATTTCTCAACTATTACAGTTGGGTTATCAAGTTATAGTTATGTAAGATATTACCACTGGAGAAAGTAGAGAAAGCATATATGGAACTCTTCATATTCCTTTTTCATATTTGACATAAAATTGACCATTTTAACCTTTTCTAGGTGAGCATTCACAATATTGTGAATCACGTCACTCCATTTCCTGGACATTCCTATCATCCCAAACAGAAACTGTATCCAGAGGATATTAAATCTCTATTCTTACCTGCTCCTCATCCTTGGGATGAAGATCCTTATATAAAGTATGGAGAAAGGGCAAATTTGTAGAAACAGGAGTAATACTGTTCTGTGAATTTGTCCATTTTACATGTATTTCATATAAGTGGCGCCATACAACAATGATTGTCCTTTTGTGTCTGACTTATTTTGTATAGAATAATGTTTTCAAGGCTCATCCATGTAGCATGTGCAAGAATTGCTTTCCTTTTTATTTTATTTTTTTTTGTTTGACAAATTTATTTTATTTTTTTATCTTCTATCTTTCTTTTATTTAATTTATTTATTTTATTATTCATATGTGCATACAAGGCTTGGTTCATTTCTCCCCCCAGCCCCCACCCCCTCCCTTACCACCCACTCCGCCCCCTCCCTCTCCCCCCACCTCCTCAATACCCAGCAGAAACTATTTTGCCCTTATTTCTAATTTTGTTGTAGAGAGAATATAAACAATAATAGGAAGGAACAAGTGTTCCTGGTTGAGATAAGGATAGCTATACAGGGAGTTGACTCACATTAATTTCCTGTGTGTGTGTGTTACCTTCTAGGTTAATTCTTTTTGATCTAACCTTTTCTCTAGTTCCTGGTCCCCTTCTCCTATTGGCCTCAGTTGCTTTTAAGGTATCTGCTTTAGTTTCTCTGCGTTAAGGGCAACAAATGCTAGCTAATTTTTTAGGTGTCTTACCTATCCTCACCCCTCCCTTGTGTGCTCTCGCTTTTATCATGTGCTCATAGTCCAATCCCATTGTTGTGTTTGCCCTTGATCTAATGTCCGCATATGAGGGAGAACATATGATTTTTGGTCTTTTGGGCCAGGCTTACCTCACTCAGAATGATGTTCTCCAATTCCATCCATTTACCAGCGAATGATAACATTTCATTCTTCTTCTTGGCTGCATAAAATTCCATTGTGTATAGATACCACATTTTCTTAATCCATTCGTCAGTGAGACCATTTCTTTTGATGAACAGAAGCTTTTTAGTTTTATGAGGTCCCATTTAAGTTGAATATTATTCCATTGTGTATATGTTATACATTTTGTTTTTCTGTTGATGGATATTTGGGTTATTTCCACCTTTTGGCTATTGTGAATAATGCTGTTAGGTGGTGGGGGTGTGACTCAAGTGGTAGAGCACCTGCCTAACAAGTACAAGGCCTTGATTTCAAACTCCAGTATTGCAAAAAAAAAAAATTGCTGATAGGAACATTGTCATACAAATATTGCTCAGGTTTCTGTTTTCAATTCTTTTAGGCATGTATCTAGAAGTGGAATTGCTGAATTATATAATAATTCTATCTAACTTTGAGGAACTGCTGAACTGTTTTCCATAGGGGCCACACCATTTTTTATTCTTATTGTTAATGCATAAGAATCCCAAATTCTTCCCCCAATATTTAGTTAATCTGTGGTTTTCCTTTTCCTTCCAAATATTGGCCTTATTGTTCTTCATGGACTATTTAGCTCAGTGGTGCCTTCAATCAGATATTTTAAACATTTTGTCCAGCTTTTCTAGTTTCAGTGATTCATAAGGACTCAGAGGTTCCACACATAGTTACCCTCATGGCTCTGATTACAGCAAAAGATTTAAAGCAAAGTGAAGACAGGAAAAGGGATGAAGTCTGGAGAAAGTCAGGCATAAGCTTACAACCCTCCTCTCCCAGAAGAATCACACAGGACACAGTTAATTCCTCCAGAAACTAGTCTTAACAGCATGTGTGAAATGTCTGCCTGGGAAGCTCACCCAAGCCAGGGTTTTTATTGGGGATCAATCATGAGGGCATCCAGCCCCTATATAACTAAACTCAGTTGCAGAAGCTTCAGACCCCCAGGGGAATTCAGGTGTTCATTATAAATCACATCATTAGCATAAACTATATGGACTAACAAGTACGGTGTGATTCAAGGTCTCTCTCATACATTCTTATTCAATGGAGCATCCCAACAACTCAGTTCCCATGAGCCAGCCAAGGATTAGTCTGGAAAACAGGCCTTTCTCAAGAATGTGCAGGGTTTGAACAATCCAGGCCTACTAGGCTGACCCTTTTCAACACAGGGTCTACCTGGCCAAATCTGTAGAAGGAACCACCCCTTGTTACTCTAGTCCCCCAGCTCTTGGCTATTAATCATTTGCTCATTTGATACTAATTAAATAACATAAATATTGTCTACTTTTTGTATTTATCATTATTCTACAGGTAGGATGTAAGTTTTTTGAGACCAAAGACTGCTTTGTTCACTGCTGTACCCACAGTGTCTTAAACAGTACTTATTAGCCTATAGTAGGTACTCAACAAGTATTTGAGTAAATGGGAATTATGATATATAGAATTACATAGGAATGCCGATAAGGTTGACTGGATTAAAATTACTAGGGTATGCTGTTAGCCTAATGAATGACAATTTCTTGTTTGTTCATTTCTCTTTCCTGAACAGGTCTATAATTCAGTAGCCAAAGCTTTCCCGAGAAGGTTTGTTTTGCCCTTAGATATCAGTGTGAATGCCTCCGAGGGAGAGAACCTCAGCCCGTTGTCCTATTCTTCAGCCAGTGCTGTGAAGCAGGGTGATGGAAAGGTATGTTATGAATGAACATTGAACTTGAGTGGTGCTACTTTATTGTTTGGCTGTTCTCCACATGCTTGGTGTCCACTAGATTTCATGACATTCAGCCATGCAGGGTGAGGTCATGGAACCTTACTTGCACAAGAATCACAGAAACTTGGGTGGGAGTGAGCAGTGTGTCAAGTGTCCTTTTTGTGTCTTGAAACAGCTCTAAGCAACTTTCTAATGGTTATAGAACGTCTAAGCATTTAAGACTGTCATTGGCCATTTCCACCTTCTAGATAAGTTACCCTACCATGAGCATTTCATTGTGCAGCTATCAAAGGTCTTAACTGTAGTAGAATGAAGAACAACTTCTATCTCCTATGCCATTTGACAGCTTATTCACAAAACCTGATAATATATGTACTCAGACTCATGATGGAAAGAGGAACAATATAAAAAATGACATAAAATCTTTTTGCCTCCTGTCACAAACTTACAGAGTATTACCACCCCTCCCCCACACCCGTGACCTATCCCGAAGAAGAAAATAAGCAAGAATTATATAACCATTTCATATCCTTTTGGGACTTTATTTATTTATTTATTTTTTAATTAAAAATTCTTTATTAGTGTGTGCTGGGGGTACATTGAGATATTTACAAAGTGGGACCTTTTTTAGATCTGGTGCTCTCATGAAAATCTACATCATGAAGACCTAGAGGAGGAAGGGGGCATTGAATTCCCTCAGATCAACTATGGCCAATTCAATGGCAAAAAGTACCATTATTTCTACGGCTGTGGCTTTCGGCACTTGGTGGGGGATTCTCTGATCAAGGTCGATGTGGTGAACAAGACACTGAAGGTAAGGAAAATCTCTTTCCTTTTCTGGATTTTCTAAAGCCCTATTCTGCTCTTTGGATTAGTTTTTGCTTTGTCTAAGGTAGCTCTTGAGATTCTTTAATATTTAAACAGCTCAGCCATTTTCTTAAGTTTGAGAACCATGAAATCACCTAAGTCAGGGATATGTTCCCTCTAGGGAATCTAAAGGAAATTCAAGCCCAGAAAAACAATTCTATGGCTGAGGTTATTTTAGAAGAATTGTGGTGTTAAGGTTATTGAGACACCTATGTTTCAGGCTGATGGAAATTATAATTACACAAATTATGTTTGATGGCTACAGAATCTGGGGGCTGCAAAAGTTTCTCCCCCCATAGTCAACTCAGAGAGCCTTTAAACAATTTTTTTAACTGTTAGAATATTCTTTTGACAATCAAATTCATGCTGGGAGTGACAAAAGCTATCTCAATCATAACTGGCCTTTTATCAAATACTTTTTTTTTGGGGGGGGAATCTTGCAGGTTTGGAGAGAAGATGGCTTTTATCCTTCAGAACCTGTTTTTGTTCCAGTACCAGGATCCAGTGAAGAAGATGGTGGGGTTATTCTTTCTGTGGTGATCACTCCCAACCAGGTAACTGTATTTCTCTGTCACTAGTCAGAATAAAAGTAGCATCAAGCCATTTGAAGGTGGTATTTAGTAATGTGGCCCACAGTTTATCTTGATATCTCCCTTTTCTTTCCCTTCTTACTGTTTACATATCTTCTCATTACAATCTATATTTTATTATTGTTTTAAACTTCTAATTGTAGAATCATCATCATAGTTGACATTTGCATAGGGATTTGTTATTTACAAAGTACTTTCATACATACTATCTTAGTCATCAAAACAACTTTGTGGGATATCATGTTGTGCATGTGGAATCTGTAGCTTAAAGAAGTTGTGACTTGCATGGGATCACATAATGAGAAAGCCAGTGTTTAAATCTTCTGGCTTCTTGCTTAGCATTCATATCACCATCTGTGTTTCCAATTTCAATTTGCTGGCCTTGAAGTTCAATAGCATAAGCCCTGACCTAGTATCTCAATAATATTACTTACTGACTCTTATCTGTGGCAATCATGTGCAAATCAGTTCACTTCATGTATCAGCTTTGATTAATTATTAGTGGCTACTTGGGGTGTAGGATTCTGAGGGCTTTTAATGGTTTGATGGGGAAAGTGCTTTGATCTTTAGTGATATCAGATATGGGCTTATTCCTTGTGCCATTACACTCTGTAATTAGGTCAGGGCAAATCTCAGTCTGTTTTGCAGTGTCCCTTTGAATAGCTCCAAAGTGACATAGAATGGAGGCCTTTCTGATTAAGAAGAAGGCAATTCCATGTCTCTTAGGACCTTGGAAAGGGGCGAGTAGGAAGGTTATAGACTTGAGATCCTCCGAAGATGATTGTTGCTTATCTCTTTGCTTAGGAAGAATTTCTCCAGTCATGATTTCCTTTTCAGTCCAGTTTAGCAATTCAGCAAACATTTAGTGAGTAGATAGGTGAGGCATTGTGCCAGGAGCCAGGAGTAAATATGAAGTGAGTATGACATGCTGTCTTCCTCAGGAATTTAATAGCCAGTGAAGACAGATCTTTTTTTATGAAAAAAGAGGGAATTTTCATTTTTGTTTTCCTTTTCTAGAATGAAAGTAATTTTCTTCTTGTCTTGGATGCCAAGAACTTTGAAGAATTGGGCCGAGCAGAGGTGCCTATACAAATACCTTATGGATTCCATGGCACATTCGTTCCCATCTGATGGGACAATCACAGGGTCTAGGAACTAGGTTTAAGTGATGGTCCTGCACACCAATGACAGAAAATAGGGCACCCTACCACTCAAACTGTAGAAAATTGGTTTTTCAATTTCTATTAAAAACAGAATTGGTGAGATCATTATGGTTTTATTTTTCTTATTGTCCTCTAGACAATAATAAGAATGCATGAAAGGAGCCAGGCATGGTGGTATCTGCTTGTAATTCCAGCTTCTTGGGAGGTGGCAACAGAAGGATTGAGGTTTGAGGCCATCTTGGGAAAAGTTAGCATGAGTCCATATCTGAAAAACAAACTAAAAAAAAACAAAAAAGGACTGGGGGCATGATTCAAGCCTGAATCCAACTCCCAGTACCATAAAACAAACAAACAAAACACATGAAAGGAAGGTTAAAATTGGGTCTTTACTTCCGCCAGATACGAGGGTGATAGAGGTTCTAGGAGACAGAATACAAATGATGATCATAGATAGTTTTCAAATCTAGATCTCAAAAGCGCCCTGTTCTTCCCTCCAAGGCCTGCCTGCTACCATTGGTCCTAATGTGTTTAGCCAGCTCTGTCATGCTTGGTGGCCTCCCCTGAACTGGTTTTTCTCTGCTGTGCCTGGCAGATGGTGCTGCAGTTACTTGACCCTGCTACAGCCCACCTTCCCCCATTTCCTCTCCCCCTCGCCACCCTCTCCAGGCTTTGGAGGTGGTGGTTCTGAGGGACATCTAATCTCTCTTTGGATTAATGAAAAGCCAGTAGTTCTTCATTTAGTTGGGCAACAGGTGGCACTAGAGACCAGGAAATCTCCAGGTTTCTAAACCCCACCAGTTTTTACCAACAGTCCAAAGCACCCAAGCCACTCATACTCTTACCAACACCCTCAAAATCCCTTGTTCTCTTTCCTTCAGGGACCAGTTAAACTGTCCAGCTCCCTCTGCATGTTGACTGTTGTTGAAGTTCCCTGAAACATGCAATTTACGGTACCTATGAACTCACGGTTAGGTTCTCCATATAGTCCTGGGCTGTCAGTTTCCTCTTTAATTTTCCCTATTCTCTTTTGTGAAGTGTTCCAATACAAATGAATGCTATATGTGGAGGTTTGCACAATGGCAATAAAATAGCAGGACCAAGTCCCACATCTGGTTTTGTGAGATGCAGAACACAGCCGTAAGTACAGAATGGCAAGGAGATGCCTTACACAGAACTAATAAAGCAGACATAGGAGCCCAGGGCCAAGGTAGCTGTGAGAACAGAAGCCCCTGTACTTCTTCAGACAAAACACGAGGTTTAATATCTCTTGTCTAGACATAAAGATTGATGGAGACTCTGACCTCTGGGAAGCACACAGATCTGATGGTGCACAGAACATGAAGTTCAAACATGCAAAGGCTATCAGTATAATTGTAAGATTTCATGCAAGGATGCATGAATTCTGCCTTGGCCCTTCTATCTGTGAGATTCTTGAAAAAGATAAAAATCAATGGCAATTTATAATCTAGGCACAGTGTCTAGTTATCCAATGCATACAGTTTTGTTAAGATTGAGTGAGCATAGGATCAAGGCTCAAAGGACAGCCAGGGCCTATCTCTCCCTAGGCCCAACTCTTATCACTCACCAGTGCCCAGAGACTCAAATAAAAGGAGTATGCAGTGCACAGATGAGGGGAAAGGGAAGGGAGAGATACTCAGTGCTAGGTCAACTTAACCACAGGCAGGCAAGAAGCAGAATAGAATGTAAGTAAGATGGCTGACAGGGGAATGGAGGCATGACTCAAGTGGTAGAGCATTAGCCTAGCAAGCATAAGGTCCTGAGTTCAAAACCCCAGTACCTTGAAAAAATTTGAACATGAGTTCCACTGCAAAAAAGAGAGAAAAAAATATATATATTTGGTTGGTGTAGTGGCTCAAGTGGTAGAGCGCCTGCCTAGCAAGCATGAGGCCTTGAGTTCAAGCCCCAGAACCACCAAAAAAAAAAAAAAAAATTAAAAAATAAAAGAGCAAAGCAAACAGTTTGCTGGGCGCTGGTGGCTCATGCCTGTAATCCTAGCTACTCAGGAGGCAGTGCTCAGGAGGATTTCGTTTTGAAGCCAGCCTGGACAAATAGTTCATGCTCGAGACCCTATCTCAAAAAAACCCACCACAAAAAGGGCTGGCAGAGTAACTCAAGGTGAAGGCCCTGAGTTCCAGCCCCAGTACAGCCAAAAAAAAAAAGATGGCTGGGACTATTTTACTTGGGGTAAAATGGGCCAGTTTGGGCCCTTTTTTCTTTTTTTTGAGGGCAGGAACCATATATATATTTCTTATTCATCCTTATGCCTCTGGCATTTAGAGTGTTCACCACTTAGAAAATACTAAGTAAACAGTTTTTAATGAAATATTTCAGTAAGTACTGGAAGGTGATGGCTATAGGTGCTATCTTGCCAATATGTGTCATTTGAATACCATGTAAGGACTTCTTTTTTAATTTTTTTGAGACAATGTCTTGCTATGTAGTTCAGCCCAGCTTCAATCCTCCTACCTTGGCCTCCTGAGTGCAGTGATTAAAGGCATGTGGTACTGCACCTGGCTACCTTGTGGGACTTCTTAGAAGAAACTGACCTGAGACAAAGTGGCAGGGCACAAAGCCAGTCAATCTTGCATACTGAAGTGGGAGTTACACCTAAATGGCTTTTGGGCTCAAGGCACTGAAACCTAGAAGTCAGAGCTAACTCAAGGTTGGTTTATTTTTTCTGAGAATTCTAAAGGATGAATCTACTTTCAGGCCTGTGTCTTTGGATTGTAGATGTATTATCTCTGTGCCTTCATGTGGCATTTCTTCCCTCTATATGTGTTTGTTGCTGTGTCAAGTAGTTCTTATTTATTTTGGTATGACCTTGCATGTTGCCCAGGCTGATCTGAAACTCCTACACTCAAACCATCCTCCTGTCTCAGCCTTCCAAATACCTGGGAGTACAGGTATGTACCACTCCATCTGGCTAAGTTTTGTTTTTTTTAAGGACACTCACGTTGGATTAGGGTTAACCCTAATGACCACATCTCAACGAATTTACATCTGCAACAACCTTCTTTCTAATAAAGCTGTGGTAACAGGAGTTAGGACTTCAACCTATGAATTTGGTTGTGTGTGTGTGTGGGTGCACAATTCAATCTATAATAGTTAGAATCTGGTGAATTTGGCATAGACTAAGCTTTAATAAAATAATTCAGAGCAAGAACTTTGCAAATAAAATATTTTACTAAAGCAAACATGTAACTAAAGCAATTTCTCAGAAATTCCTTCGACCCTGTACAAATGATGAAACTGTTTTCAGATTAATCATAGACTGTTAGAGAGTGTTTATCTCTGGTATCGTCTATGTCTGGGGAATGCATGTTTCTCTTCTGTCTGATAGTGGATAAGTAATTCAGTCTTATCTGGACCCTTGCTTCTTATCTGGAAAGTAAGAGGATTGTACTAAATAGTCCTTATCTCAAAAATCTTTAAAGCCATTCATTTTTTGAAGTCTTCTCTTTAGAGCCCAATGGGGGAGATGAGAGAAACATTTGAAAATGTGCAAAGAAAGTTTGCTGCAGAACACTGATAATTTAATGCAGAACAAATACAAAGATATAACTAGAGACATTTGGCAGAAATCACCATTGGGGTTTAGGGTTCCACCACCGCCTCGTGAGCAGATGTGAGGAAACAAAGTCTTTTCGCTCCCAATGTGTCTAGATCGGCCCAAGGTTTGTAATGCGTGTGTCCGTGGGTGCCTGTGTCCACACTCCGCCGATTCAGAGATAAGTGGGTCCTTGCACGCTTGTGGATGGTTAAGGACGGCCTTAGATTTTTCCGTAGAATCATCACACAACAGTTCACAGGTACTATCATCTCTGAAAGCCACGTAGTCCCACAGGTGCTCTCAGACTCCGGCTTCTATTATTTTTATTTTCCTTAGGTTCTCTATACACAACCCCCTGAGATCTCCCTGGCTCTGCCCGCCTCCTACGTGCTGGGATTACAAGCAGGCCCCACTCCTGCCCCTTTCATGCTGGGATTAGACTGGCTCTGGAGTTTATTTGAAAAAAGCATCCGGTACTCTAATCTAGGACTTTCTAACCTCCTCCTTAGTGGGAGGGGAGCTCAAAGAGGTCCACTCGAGGACACAGAACGAGCCCCGTCGGGTCTGAACGCTCAGCGTGGCGTCGGACCCAGCAAGGTAGTCAAGGCTGCTCACTGGCGCCCGGGCTCCAGGGCATGCCTGCTCGAAGGTACTCGCAGAACACCAAGGCCCGGCAGCGCTGAGCCAATCAGAACAGCGCCTCCGGGCCAGGCCCGCACCGCGCAGCCGCAACGAGGCTCCGCCCACCGGCCCGCCCACTGGCTCTGCGGAGGGAGGAGGCGCTGGTCTCCGGACGCCGACCTGACAGCCATGAGCGCGGCGGACAGGGTTGGTCGCCGCCGGGCGCGAGTGTCTCGCCTCGTCTCCTTCAGCGCGAGCCACCGGCTGCACAGGTGGGGCGTGCCCACAGCTGCCATAACAGGAGGCGGACACCTGTCCGCCGCTGACGTCATTGGGGCGGGGCCAGGAGGCGCGCTTACGTGCGCGGGCGCGAGCGTGGGGCGGCGTAGGAAGAGACTCGGCCGACAGCGGGGACCCGGCGCTCGTGCGCGCGCGCGGTTCTTCCCTAGTGGCCCGTGGCGGGAATGGGTGGATGACTGCGGGCTATGGCCGAGCGCGCCAGGAGGCAGTGGGGCGTGGGGACGGCCGGAGACGGCCCTGGGTGTGAACCACAGGATCCATTCTACCTGTGCCCCGCATATTCAACAGAATCAATCTCGCCCGGATTCCGCAACCCCGCGCACCTTAAACACTCAACAAACTTTTACCTAGTTTGGTACGCCAGCTGCATGAACTACCGTATCTAATATAATAGCCAGGCAACTTCCAAACACCCTTCTTACCAAACGTAAACTGAACTCTGGTGTTACATTCGTAAGCACGCAACACGTTGGGATTTGAACCCCCAGCTGAGCTGATTTTGAGAAGGGCTACTCAGTAGCCCTCTCCACGTTCGTAAAATGAGGATATAATCATTTCTAACGGTTCACCATTCATTACTGGACAAGGGTTCGTTTCATGCTTTTAAGGCTTTGGGCTAGGTGACAGGAATGCTGCAGGGACTAACACGCACCTATCACTGGCTCCTCTCAGAGGTTTGCAAAGTTACAATGTGGTTCATTTTGTCCATAGGACAGTGAGAGATTTTTCTGCAGAAGTGTTGTGAACTGTAGCCCTTCATGTCCGAGAAAAGTGTGTGTGTGTGTGTGTGTGTGTGATTATTACCTTTATTAGAGATGTCTATTAAGCTCTCTAAGGAATTATATAATAGGAAGCCCAAACATGAGGCTGGTGATGTTGCAGGAAAATCACCAGACTAGCGAGAACAAGACTCAAATCCAGGTAGATTGAGGAAAGGAAGTTTATTATGTTAGCGGGCCAGCACCTGGATAGCTCCAAAATGGCGCTGACCGCTAGCTCAGGGTGGTTGGGGTTTTCAGAAGCAGATGTGGCAGTTAGCTTTTCAAGGTTACAGTATATCATGTTAGCACCCCTGTGGAGGAAGGCCGTCTGCAGTTTCTAGTGGGATAGCTGGATACAGGGGCCCCGGCAAGGGGGATGGGCTTTACTCGTCTTTGATCCTTTTCCCAGCTTTGATCTTTCTTGGGTTTCCTTATCATTCCCTCCTCTTATCCATCATAATCCCTTATGACCATTTTGGTCATATTGCCTCATCTAGAGGCAATCTTTGGTACTGGCTCACTAACTGTAATTTAACAGTGCCCATCTGGTTGCAAATGAACCTAGCAAGGAGGTTTATCACACAAGGACCTAGGAGCAGTAGTAAGAGAAGCACAGTAAGTGGGCCTGCCTAGGGGGCTACCCCTGGGGCCTAGAACCTCTACCCTGTACTCCAAAATGTTTCCTGGTTTCTTCTCTTGATTCTTTCTAGCAACTGGTGAGCATTTTCTCTCACTATCCTGGACTGGTTTGCATAGAAGCAACATTCTTCCCCTAGAAATGCACAAATTCCCCCTTTTTCTGAAATAATGAGGTCCAGGCCCCGGCGGTTTTGCAAGACTGTGGCTGCTAGTGAGTCTAACTGATTTTGCAGGGTGACAATACTCTGTTGTACTAATCCTAAATCCTCACGGATTTGTTCAGATAGCTGGCTATGCTGGACTTGTTGGAGACCAATGGCAGTAGCCCCGGTAGCTGTTGCTCCTGCCAGGGTGACTCCCAGAAGTACTGGGAGGAGATGGGGTCCTGCCAGAAGTAGGTCTGACCTTCAGTCTGCTGGTTCAGGTACTGGGCAACTTCAGTCCCGGGAAGTATGTCCAGGTCCGGGACTAGGAAAACTAAGACACAGTCTCCCCCGGCATAACAAGTATGGATCCCACTCTGGCAGGCAAAGTAAGTTCTGTTGGGCGCCTTGGCTCCTTTTACTAAATTAGCGCAGTTTTTCCCTTTGCCAAAGCATTTAGTTTCTCCAGTTATTTGGACAGCTGGGCCCGTGAGGCAGGTATTGTCATGCTGAGTAGAGTTGTCCAGGCCTAGCCTATGTATTTCTGATATGTTAGCCAGGCCCACCCCGGCATATGACACTTGGCTGGCCCTCAGACAAATCCAACAGTCTCTACCTAGTTCAGGGTCTGCTTGCTGTATTAGTTGATGGCTGCTATTTGCTAGGGCCATCACCTTAATGAGAGGGGTGTCAGGGTGTAATGGTGTAATGGGGGCCGATTAGCCCCATCCAAGGAGGGAGGGAGGATCTGCCCCTGCGCCCAGGGGTCCAGAGAGTTGGTTTTACTGATTTGGAGACAGTGATTTGCTGTTTTAATCTCAAGGCTAAGGGTCTTTAAGAACACTTGACTTTCCCAGTTACGTTTGAGGGATCATCCCAGTCCAAAGACCCTAGCTCCCCACTGTTGGGGTTTATCTATTGTTAACTGGAAAAGGTCTCCTTTTCTTTTGCCTCATTCCCTGGCATGCCCCTTTTCATTGTAGTTGCTTGAGGATAGCCTCTGAATACTGACACCCTCGCCTTTCGTGGGGGTCCCCTCCCAAGCCCCCAGGGAGGCAAAATCAACTCATGACCAGTATTGTAAAAAGGACCATGAGGGACCCTCACAGTCATTCCAGGTTTGTGGTACTCGGCCATACGCATTGGATAAGCGATCTTTGAATTGGCCAGAGCAAACCAGGGTGGTGGGCCCTAAGTGAGCTATTACTCTGACTTCCGAGCCTAGGCAGTACATAAAGGAGACAACACAAGGGCCCGACAAAGCACAAGTGGTGCGGTTAATTAATGTTCCCTACTGTCCTTCCAAGAGTCTGACCTCCCATACTAATTTATGGAAGATCCCAGTAGGGCCTGGAGGCCTCACTTGTGAGTCAGTCATTATGATCACAGTTGTCAGTAGGATCAGCACGTCTGTCTGATGCCTCATTGGAGCTTCCTCGGGTCAAGGTCAGTTTTAATGGCTGGTCTGGGTTGGCCCAGATCCTCTGCTGGCTTGGCGTGTGTGTGATGGAGCTACGGCTTTAATCCTGCAACCTTAAGAGCTGAAGGGGTGGTTAGAATGACTTGGTAAGGTCCCTTCCATCAGGGGTCTAGACTCCCTCTAACTGGGGTTTTGACCCAAACCCAGTCTCCTGGGCTCCACGGGTGTAAAGGCTCGAGGGTCATGGAGGCTGGCTCTGGATGCCCTAGGTGTCGAGCACATTCCCTAGAAGTGTGTGCTAAGCCTCTTAGGAACCTGTGGAGGCCTGTGTGTTCATACTCTTGAAGGTCTCCAGCCTGCCCAGGTATAAGTGGTGGCGGCTGTCCATATATGACCTCAAAAGGGAAGAGGCTGCATTTTCTGGGTGTGCATCTGATCTTGAATGGGGCCAAGAGTAATACATCTGGCCAGGGCAGCCCTGTTTCTTGACATTGTTTTGCCAGTGCTGTTTTAATAATTCTGTTCATCCTCTCCACTCTGCCTGATGCTTGGGGGTGATACCAGGTATGCAAGTCCCAGGTCAGGCCAACTGCATAGGATATTCCTTTAATCACCTGACTGACAAAAGCAAGCCCATTGTCTGACTGATGCTGCTAGGTACCCCAAACTGGGGAATGATTTCCTTGGCTAGTGCTCTTGACACCAATGTAGCCTTCCCCATGCGGGTGGGGTAGGCTTCCACCCAGCCTGTGAAAGTGCAGACCACCACCAGAAGGTACCGATAAGTTTTGCTCGGTTGGATCTCAGGTGAAGTCCATTTCCAGGTGTTGGAATGGGTAGATTTCCCTCTTCTGGATGAGTAGAGGGGGCTTGGGCCCCTGTCCTGTGTTGTGTTGGGCGTAGCACAGACAGGCCCTGTTGGCCAACTGAGTTGCCAGTCAAGGAATGACCAGATATTTTTGCAACAGTCCCTGTAGAGAGGTTTTGCCCAAATGGGTGGTGTCATGTGCCAGCCTTACCAGGCCTGCGGCTGCCTTTTCCAGTATTGGAGCCTTCCCTCCAGGGTGATGAACCAGCCTTCTGAGTTTTCTTTAGCCTGTTTCATGGGCCTGCTCTCTTTCTTGTGGACTGTACACTGGCCAGTCTGGGCCACCACCTTGGCTGCTATGCTAATGAGTTGGTCAGTGTTGGCATCTGTGAAGCCCTCTATCTTTTGTAGCTTTTGGCGAACACCAGGGGCAGACTGTTGGATGAAGATGGTGTTAATCATGGGTTGGTTTGTGAGGGCCTCAGGGTCAAATGGGGTGTACTGACAGTAGGCATCATATAACCGGTCATGGAACTGGTTAGGCAGCTCATCAGGCTTCTGTGTGACTTCACTGATCTTGGCGAGGTTGGTTGCCCCTCTTGCCCCTTGGTGGTCTCCCTCCAGGATAGCTTGTCTCATGTGCTGGATGGATTGGAGCTCATTTGGAGTGTTGGAGTCCCAGTCTGGTCTGGTGTCTGGGATTTTTTCATCTGCTCTGGATTTATAGTCTGTGGTGGAGCTAGCCAAGCTCTGGCTGCCTGGTATACTTGTCAGCGCTCATCAGAAGTGAAGAAGGTGGACATGAGTGGACGACAGTCGTCCCAGTTGGGCTAGTGGCTGTGCGTGATGTTGGTTGGGAGCTCTATCACAGCTTGTGGCTCCTCTGAGTATGCTGGGGTGTGCTGTCACCAGTTCAGGAGATCGGTGTTAGTGAATAGCTGATACACGTATTGCATGGGTCCAGCTGCATATGACCTATCTGCCTGGGTTAGTGGCAGCCCAGGAACCTGATGGAGGGGGCATAGTATAGCTACTGGGGCCCCTCTGTCCTTACTTGTTAGCCTCCCAGAATTCAGTGACCTCCCCAAATGGCTCTTCTCTTCCTTTGGGGTCGTTGGAGGCAAAGGGGGGGTATAATGAGGGAACCACTGGGTGACATGGATGGGAGTCTGGGCCCAATGTTTCCTCCTTCCATTGGAGTCCCCGGCATTAGACTCAGACCTTGGGGAGGCCAGAGCGGCTGAGCGCACTGGAAGGACATATGGTGGCGGATCTGACGACTCGGATTCTGAGGTGTGGTGGACCTCAAATTTATTTTCTTCTACTTTACCATTAACCAAAACAGCTGTGTGCCTCTGGGGGGCATGAAAACGGAGCCAGTCAGGCGGGTGGGCAGCCAGGATGTACCAGGAGTCGATGTAAGGAAACTGGTCTGGATGGCGTGGGTCTCCAAAGGCTATGTTCCTGATGTGGGTGATAATAACCAAGTCTAGGGTGCCCTCTGCTGGCCATCCTGCATTAAAGGCGGGCCATTCCAATTCACAGAATCCCCGGAGCTTAGCCGGTTTTGTCTTAACCCCATAGTCACCTGAACAGCCTTCCCTAAAGTTAGCAAGCACAGTCTGGAGCACCGTTAGGCACTTTGACCCAGAGGAGCCCATTTTACATGTGCCCGAGAATTGCTGATGTCACAAGACAGATTGTGTACCTGTCAGTGAGGCAACACAGTTGCTCGCCTGGTTGCAACCCCGAACAATGAGGTTGGGTGTGACTTAGCTGTAGTGGGTTCAGCCCAACAGGGTGACTTATGACTGGACACTAGTCCAATCCCACCATACACCATATGTCAATCACCCTGAAATCTCAGGATGAACCCACTCAGACTCTGTAGCTTTCAGGGGCCTTAGAGGTGCCCAGCCATGGAGCCACAGATTTGAGCTTGAAACGAAAGCAGGTCAAGCCGCTCAGTCACACACCATTAACTCAGAGTTTAAAACAGTCAGTCCCTATTTATTTCCCCTAAAATCCTGGCTTGCTCTAAATCCAGTTGACCTGAATCACATCGGTCCCAGAGGAAGGGAACATGTCACCCTGGAATCACGTCAGGGCTCAGCTTGATCCCTGCGGGGATCAATCTGTGCTGGCTTCTTACACTGACTACCCCCGGGTTCCTACCTGGTCCAGATGTCTGATGCAGGTCTCTGTTTCACTCTACCAGTCCTTGGCTCTGCAGCCTCCTTCATTGTCTGGAAGGAAGCCCTGGAAACACATTGGGAGTGTGCATTTCCCAGTTCCAGCAACCTTCGCAGGCTACAGGGTCAGGGAGCTGAGGACCCACTGCCCAATGGGGTGTGGTGGTCTGTATCTCGCTGGGGCCTCCAAAATGTTGCAGGAAAATCACCAGACCAGCGAGAACAAGACTCAAATCTAGGTAGATGGAGGAAAGGAAGTTTATTACGCTAGTGGGCCAGCACCTGGATATCTCCAAAATGGCACCAGCCCCAAGCTCAGGGTGGTTGGGGTTTTTATGTCTAGAAAAGCGGCAGCAAGCAAGCAGGGAGTATGGAAGCAGACTTGGCAGTTAGCTTTTCAAGGTTACAATATATCATGTCAGCATACCTGTGGAGGAAGGCTGTCAGCAGTTTCTAGTGGGATAGCTGGATGCAGGGGCCGGGACAAGGGGGATGGGCTTTACCCATCTTTGATCCTTTCCCCCAGCTTTGATCTTTCTCCAGGTTTCCTTATCAGTGAGGACTCAGAAGTTGGCAAGTTGACTGGGTGGGTATAGATACACAGATTCATTAAGTAAATTTCTTTCTGTCTGGAACAACAGCTAAGTATTGTAATTTTAAATTTTCCCTTAATTTGAATATCCCTGTACAGGTGGGTGAATTTTTTTTTTTCAGTAGGGAGTAATTCAGGTGGAGTAGAGCAAGATTGTAATTATTATTCAGGAAAAATGAGATTTTAAGCAGCTTGAGGACAAATGTCTTCTTGTGTTCATCATTGTGGCTTTATTCTGCACTTGCCTTTTACATGGTAGGGACTCCATAAATGTTTGTTGAATTGAAAAATGGAAAGACCAGAAGCAGATCAGTTGGAATTTTGTGGTGGAACACAGGAGTTGAATTTAAGATTTGTTTCTGCTAATTTATGGGGCACATTAGTCTGAGTAGGGCCATTGTTTCCAGATGTGTAGGTGAGTAATGACGTCAAAGTGATTTCTCCAGTTGATGAACTCAAGCTACAGTAAATTGTTACACTTTTCAAAGACCAAAGCAAATAATTAATGTTGGAACAGAGGAGTGTGATTGTGATACTTAGGTCATACTGACTTTGTTTTCTTCTTTTCTTTCTTTCTTTTTTTGTCAGCAAATCTCTGAGTAAGGAAGAAAACTTGAAACTGTTTGGGAAATGCAACAATCCAAATGGCCACGGGCACAATTACAAAGGTGAGAGAGACGGATGAAGCTTTAATGTAAAGAGTGCTCAGCCAGTGTAGGTGTCAAGAGCCAGCAGCCTGTGGACAGTGTGAATGCTTCGAGCACCTTCATGAGGAGTTAAATGGAAGTTCAAGATGAAAAGCTTTACTGTTTTGACTGCGTGAGTCTTAAGGTTTACCTCACACTTGCCTACTCTGTTATAGATAGTTCAAAACAAGCAAGGGTGCACAGAATTTTTTTCCTTGACCTTAGAATGCATAATAAAAAGTGTTTTTTTTTGGTGGTATGTTTCCTTCTGATTAGGTATGTCTGAAGCTAATGTTAAAATTAGATTATGACAGGTGCCAGTGATCACATCTGTAATCCCAGCTACTCAGGAGGCAGAAATCAGGAGGACCAAGGTTTAAAGCCAGCTGGGACAAATAGTTCAAGAGACCCTATCTCAAAAAAGCCTATCACAAAAAAGTGCCGGTGGAGTGGCTAAAGGTGTAGGCCCTGAGTTCTGCAACCTCCAGTACCACAAAAAAAAAAAAAAAAAAAAATTAGATTACAGTCAATGTTTGAAGAGATAGATATGTTTAACCTGATTTGAACATTTTACTTTGTGTACATTGATTGGAATATCAAATAGCATCCCCTTAATATGTATAATTTTTATGTTTTTATGTATCAGTTAAAAATTATATGTAATAGTTATATTATGATATATAGTGTATATATATGTATATATGTGTGTATTTAATATATATTTTTATGTGTGGTATGTGGCACTGGGATTTGAACTCAGGGCCTTGCACTTGCTAGGCAGGTGCTCTACCACTGTGATTCACACAGCCAACACTTTTTGCTTTTATTTTCTGAATAGGGTCTTGCTTTAGTGTCCCAGGTGGACTGGACTGTGATCCTCCTATTTATGCTTTCCACATAGCCAGGATGACAGATGTGTGCCACCATGCTCAGCTTTTTATTGGTTGAGATGGGGTCTCACAAAGTTTTTCCTTGGACTGGCCTTGAACCATGGTCCTCTTGATCTCTGCCTCCCAAGCAGCTAGGTTTACAGGCATGAGCCACTATGCCCAGCAAAAACTAATTTAAATTAAAGAAACCTCCTTGCAAGTGTGAAGACTTGAGTTCAAACCCCAGTACTGACCCCCAAAAAAATGAAAAGAAAGAAAAGAAACTGCATAGTAAAATCAAAATGAAAAAAATTAGATTTTATCTTTGAATAAATAATGAGAGACAAAAAGGGAGTATTGCCTAGGAATGTATCATATGGCAGAAAAATAGTTTGGGTCTAAAACTTTGTCAGCATTGTTCAGAGGAAGTAAGTAATTTGTGCAAAGATGAGGGGCTTGGTTCTTTGAGGTATATCTGATGCCTCAAAACCAGCTGCATAGCCCTCTGACAGCCTGTGCAGTACATAAGAGTGGACCAGGTGTTGGACCTGGACTTTAGTTACTGCTGCTTACTTTCTCTAAACTGCCTCTCAAATTCGCTGTACTTATTGACCATCTAACACCTAAAAATACAGGGTTTTTAAGTTGTCAGTTTGTAAGGCACTGATCAAGATTTTTCAAATGCTTTGTACAAGCACAGGTTTTATCAAGCATCACTGTGAAGTGAGGATGTATTCTTGTAAGTAAAGGAGTAAGCGCTTAATAGTAGTTGTGCTTGCTTAGAAAGGCAGTCAGAATTGGGCGAGTTTGGTGGATAGCTGGACACTTGAATGTCCATTTTCTTTATAGATAGAGATTCATCAGGAGAATTTACACCCTTTTTATCCTTGGCTGATTTATTCTGCTTAACCAAACCTCCGACTAAGCTCCTCTGTTTTGGTTGAGTCTTGCTTTGGTTGATAAAAATATCTTAATTGAAAGAACAAATGCTTGGGGGGAAAATATAAGTGTAATCTGGAGGCTGGAGATGTAACTAATAATTTACGTTGTTAATTTGTGTGGTTGTTTAATTTGTTGAAAGTCATGCTAGTTTTTTGGTATCTTTGTTTTCTCTCCATAGTTGTGGTGACAGTACAGGGAGAGGTACGTGCTAACAATATTTGTGTGGCTTGTTCAGATTGCTTGGCCCTCTTTCAGCCAGTGTGGTGTAACCAGTGTTGAAAACTTCACCGTTGGCCTTTGTGTATGATGAGCTGCTGCCATTCCAGGCCTCCCCTCTCCCAGAGTATTGTCTTTGATGTGCTGCGGGTGGTCAGGGAGAGGAACCATACATTGAACACCTGCTGCTTCTGTGCTGAGATCCGTGGGTGACTCTGGGATGACAGCAAAAGTGGGCAAAGTCTGTACATTGTACAGTCTTTAATAATTTGACAAAAGTTTAAATATAGAGAGCCTATCAAAGTAACATTCACCCGTGTTTCTTCTTTAGATTGATCCTGTTACAGGAATGGTTATGAATTTGACTGACCTCAAAAAATGTATGGAGGTAATGCATGTTGAGTGCTTATTATGTCCTATCTCCTCAGTGTAATTTTGATGGTCCCCTTTCTCCCTCCTGTGTCAGTTAGCTCCTGAAGGTCCATGGCTTTACGAGAGCACATGGGTGTGGGAGTGGGAGCGGGAGACTAGTTGTAAGAACTACTCCCCCGCCTACTAAAGTAGTCTCAGTTTTGTTCCAGCAGTGGGGGTGGAGGTAGGGGAGATGCAACAGTGTGCTTCCTTGCTGGAACATCCTCTTTTCCTTCATTTAACAAATTCTACCTTTCTTTCAAGTGACAGCTTTCTACTTGAAACCTTCTATCCCTTCTCTCAATATTCCTTGTTCCTTTGGTCATAGATTTTTAAGACTACCTTTTCTCATTCTCTCTGGCTTCACTATAAATTTACTGGGACAGGTCATCATAGAGATAACACACAGAAAGGTGTTCAACGAAGGACTTATTGATGGTGTCATAATAAAGTTCTTGCATTGTGAGAGATCTTGGTAATTATCTGAACCAATTTCTTCATTCCAAAGATTAAAACCAAGGGTTCTAAACAGTTAACTGCCTTGCCCCTGGTTATGTGGTTAGTCATTTGCAAAGTTGGGAGTAGATTTCTACTCTTTCTTGTTTGCTACCATTTCATTTGTTACCATTATATAGTTCTTCACTTCAGTTCTGAAACTTTTATCCTAACATTTGACGTTTTCTTCATAGAAATAATGCTAATGACCTTTACTTTTTAACATTACATATTCACATATTAAATAAATTTGCAGCATTTTTGAGCTGAATAATGGAAATACAAAAAGAAATGAGACATAGCCCACAGAGTCATGATTACTTTTTCTAGGAGGCAAGGAATAGTAAGTGCTCAAAAATTGTTGGTTGAGTGAAAGAATAAACAGCCCTGTGCTCAAAGAATTTAGGGAGTTAAAGTCTCCATTTTATGGAGACTTGAAATGCATATACACAAAGTCCTGTGCAGCATAAGACAACAATAGGAGCGGTCTCAGGCAGACAAATGACTGAACGCTAGAAGAGGAGCTCTTAGTTTTTTTCTTCTTTTGTGTACCTGAAGTATACAACACCTGGCAGTAAAAGTAGCTCATCCAGGTGGGTGTTAGAGTTCTTCAGAAGAGACTTCAATGGAGAAGTTGGGACCAGAACTGGGATTGACATTAAACCAAAGATTTATTTTCTTGGTATTCATGGGAAATAGCTCTTCATGTGGTCTATTTTAAAAAGTAGTTGACCTAGAAGTTACTTTTTCTTTCCTTTTTTTTTTTTTGGTGGCACTGGGGTTTGAACACAGGGCCTGCCACTTGCTAGGCAGACACTCTTACTGCTTGAGCCATTCTGCCAGCCCTTTTCTTATCATGGATTTTTTTGAGATAAGATCTTGTGAACTATTTACCTGGGTTGGCTTCAAACCTCGATCCTCCTGATCACTGCCTCCTGAGTAGCTAGGATCACAGGCATGAGCCACCGGTGCCCAGCTGAAATTACTTAAAAAAAAAATTCTAGTTTTGCTCAAGAAATGATTACAATATTATTAATGTACCCTTCTTGAAACCTTGCAATATGGGAAATTAAGTTGTTTCACAAATGCTTAGATTTCTGTACAAAGTGCTAAAAGTGAAAACCTAGAAAGAGTAGGCAGTTACAATCCTTGCTAACTACTTACATAATTTCAGGTCTGCTTTCCAAACTCTAGTGCTTGCTGGGTCTTTATACCCTAATGGTACTGTGGCATTGTTCCAAAGGGGAGACTAAAGTTGTGGAAAAGTGTTTCTGGTAACTTTCTGGACAAAATTCAAGAGTTGTTAAAACTGAGTTCTGAATCACAGTGGCTTGTGTTTCAAGAAAGCTCCAGGAATTCTCTTCTACTTTTTGGTTTCTCAACTCTGCATTCAGTAACAAGGATAGCTAATCATTTTAGGGAACAGGAACTGACTTTAAACCTTGTTAGATTGTTTTCTAGGACACAGATAGAATATTTACCAATATTGAGTTATGACTAAATGATGGGGTAGTGTTCAGAGACTTAGGTGGAACCCTTTGGAACGTGAGGCAGGAGTGGAATCAGCGTTTGCCTCCTTATTCTGTCTGTAGGAGGCCATTATGAAGCCCTTGGATCATAAGAATTTGGATCTGGATGTGCCATACTTTGCAGACGTTGTAAGGTGAGTGTCAGGATAGATAGTGAGAAAGACAGTTGAATTTGACATTTTATCTGATTGCCATGTGATTTCGAAAGTTTCTGTAAGTATAAGCATGAAATTTATTATTTGCATTTTGAACTTCTTTCCTTTTTTCCTACAGTACGACAGAAAATGTAGCTGTCTATATCTGGGAAAACCTCCAGAAATTGCTTCCTGTGGGAGTCCTTTATAAAGTAAAAGTGTATGAAACTGACCAGAATATTGTAGTCTACAAAGGAGAATAGTTCTTAGGGTTCACATTGCAGAAAGATGTCTTTGGCCCCTTACAATATTAAGCAGTCACTACTTAATATTTGTGCCTCTGTATTATGTTTGGAGTATCTCTGTTGAAATAAATGTGGACCTGTTATAAATGTGAATCTCTTTTAAAATCAGACTTGTAATGCATCCTGAATCTGTGTACATGTGTATGTGTGTGTGTATGTTTGTGCGTGTGTGTATGTGTGTGTGCACGTGTATGTGTGCGCATGTGTGTGTATGTGTGTGTGCGTGTGCGTGTATGTGTATATGTGTATGTGTGTATATGTGTGTGTGCATGCGTGCGTGTGTGCTGGGGGTCAGGCCTCACAAATGCAGAGCACCGCGTGCTGTCTGACACTGAGCTACATCCCAGCCCCTCTGCTTATCATTTAAAGAGTCTTTTTATCTGTAAGTTAAAAATGACTTCATTTTTAGCAGTTTGGTGTGGAATTATTTGAAAGCAAAAGAAATCTATTTTTGTTGCATTCTCTGGTATCTCATTTTTAGCATTTTTTCTTGATATAATATAAATGTTAAAATTATTTATGCAACTTACAGTGGGTGAATCTTATAAAAATAAAATTCAGATGACCATAAAGCCTGAAGATTATATGTTTATTTCTTAATAGTTTGAACACCCTTGATTTCTTCCAGGGCATGCTATAGGTGCAGGTTTATTCAGTGGGAATTAGACATACAGATGATCTGAGCGATGTGCTGCTGGTGTGTGGACAAGGACTGATGGAATGCTGTTCCAGTGCCACTTCACTGCAACTTGCACACCTCATTGATCTTTGAATTGCTAGTGAGGAACAGCATTTTGAACATACCACAGGGTATCATCTACTTAAGTAAATTTCTCTGGAATTCCAGATGTTACGCCATTTACATAATTTAACACAGAATCACATATTTAAACCCTTTTAAAATAACACAACAGAGAAACTAAAGCAGATACCTTAAAAGCAACTGAGGCCAACAGGAAAAGGGGACCAGGAACTAGAGAAAAGGTGAGATCAAAAAGAATGAACATAGAAGGTAACACACATGCACAGGAAATTAATGTGAGTCAACTCCCTGTATAGCTGTCCTTATCTCAACTAGCAAAAACACTTCTTCCTATTATTGCTTATACTCTCTCTTCAACAAAATTAGAGATAAGGGCAAAATAGTTTCTGCTAGGTATTGAGGGGGTAGGGGCGAGAGGGAGGGGGTGGAGTGGGTGGTAAGGGAGGGGGTGGGGGCAGGGGGGAGAAATGACCCAAGCCTTGTGTGCACATATGAATAATAAAACAATAAAAAAAACACTAAAAAAAATAGTCAACACAAAAGGGCTCTGCTACTCTATAAAGGAAGCTTTTCCTATAAATACTTTTTCTTAATTGGTTCTATTCTGTCCTGATCATTAAATTTACCTGTAGAAGTTGAACTTCATTCTTGACATTCATCTCACGTGTCTTTTCTTCATGAATAAATCCACAAGAATGCATTTGCTTGCTTTGCACAAAGACCTGTTCTCTTGTGTTCTCATTTGTATTCTAAACTTCTTAAATACAGGATTTTATATTTCTGTCCACATAGCAACTAGTATACAATGTTGCTTCATGAAAATACTAAAAGGACTAAGGCAGTGATTACTATTCTACAAAAATTTGGAATAGAATTTTACTTTGGAGAGTTACTAACTGCAGGACTTTTATTTAAAATTTTGTGTCAACAACATGCCCACTTAATTAAATTTTAATGGATTTTAGTTGTCAAACACAATTTTTATCTTATTTATGTAGAATATTTTATATTGATTACTTGAAAGTCAGAATAGCTATCGCTAAGGTGCTTTATGTTTTGGTTCTTACAAATATGCAAGGTACGTATTATTCCCATTTCATAGATTAGAAAAAGTTGAGAAAGTTTAGGCTACTTGTTTAGGATCACTTAGCAAATCAATTACAAACTGGGCATTTGACACTTAGGGTGATTCTAAAACATAGACTGAAGAAGGGACAGTGTATGTGTATTTCCAGAAATTTAAAAGTATGCTAGATTTGCAGATCTGATTTTTGTTGTTGTTGTTTGAGACAGGGTCTCACTGTGTAGCCCAGGCTAGCCTCAGGCTTTTGATCCTCCTGCCTCTGCCTCCCAAGTGCTAGAATTACAGGTATGCACCACTACACTCAGCTAGAGCTAATATATTAGAAAAACCATTTTTTTCATGGTTAACATTTTTTTCCCTGTACTTGCTCTTCTTAGGAAAGTAAGAATATCTTTCTGTCTCTCTGTTGAGTGAGTAAGTGAGTGGATGAGTGAATGGTTGAAAGGAACAAAGGTAAGGAGGAGATTATTTTTTTCTTTCTCTTTCAGAGACCATTTCAAACTTACATTGTAATTGTTGCTTTATTCTTTTCTCTCTTGCTATTGTGAATTTCTTATGGGAAAATTGTTTTAAATAGCATATCTGGTAATTAGTATTCAATAATTTTTTGTTAATTAAAATAATAGTATATTGTTAAAAAACTTCAAATTTTATAGTGCCTTAATATATAGAGTGGGCACATGGCAAATATTTTTAGATTGGATTAACTTGAAGGTTTTGAGGATTTTGAGTCCCAGAGCTGTTACTCTTGAGTTGAGTCACATTCATCTCTGGGCTTCTGTTTCTTCACCTATAAAGCAAATCCTAAGCCCAGAAGCTTTCTGAAGTTACTTCTGCCACTTCCATATCTAGATGATTTTAAATACCAAGTGAGCAAATAGTATTAATTTAGAGAAGGAAAAAAGATGACAGGAGGGTGGTAAGGTTTGGAAAAGCTTGGTGGAGGAGGGAGGTAAGTCCTGAATGGTACTTAACAGTGATTGAAGAGTAGTAGTTTGAAATTTAGGAAGAAAGAGGGAATGAATGCTAAAAGTTAACTAACAAGGTTTTAGGGTGGGAATATATTTGGGTTATAGTGAATAGGTTAAATAGAGTAGTGATTTGGTCCTTTTCCTTTAAGAAATAGGAATGTGTTGAAGTTTTTTTTTTTTTTAAGATGATAACCAGATGGACAAAGAGAGAAACAAGGAGAATCATTGCAGGAATCTAGCCTTGGAGGGTAGATGCCTGGATTGTGGTGGTGGCAGTGGAAGCAGCAAGATGGGGAAGGAGAATAGAGTAACACCATGCAGTGCCTTCTGTGGTGTCAGGTATTTTACCAGATATTTTTATATCACCTTGTTTTATCTTCATAATCACCCTGTTGGGCAAGTGTATTAGTTACCTATTGCTGCAGAGCAAATTACCCCCAAACAGAGTTTAAACATGACTTACACAGCGAACATTTATTATCTCAGTTTCTGTGGCCCAATAAGCCGGGTGGCTTAGCTGTGACCTCTGGTTCAGAGTCACAAGGCAGTGATCATCTCAAGTCTTGACTGGGTAGGATCAACTTCTAACTCACATGGTTGTTGAGAGGACTCTCATGGGTGGTTGGCCTAAGGCCTTAGTTTCTCAATTAAAATTTTCAAAAAATAATTATTTTGGCAGTTATTGGGGGTTGAACTCAGGCCTCATGCTTGCCAGGCAGGCACTCTACCACTTGAGACATCCTCATAGCCTTTTTTTGCCTTAGGCTTTTCATATAGGGTTTTACATTTTTGCCTGGGCCAAGCTTTAGGCAGTGATCCATCACCTCCTGTGTGGCTGGGATTACAGACTTGAACTATGATGCTCAGCTTCTTTGTTGAGATAAGGTCCTGCTAAACTTTTTGCCTAGACTGGCCTCAAACTATGATCCTCCCAATCTCTACCTCCTGAGTAACTAGATTTAACAGGCGTGTACCTGAGACCTCAGTTTCTCCCTGCTTTTCATATAGGCCTGTTCAGAAAGCATCTCCCAATATGATAGTTTGCTTCATCACAGAGAGCAAGTAAGAGGGCAAGAGAGAGGGCCAGCAAGAAAGAAGTCACAGTCGTTTGTAACCTAACCACTTTTCCTGTATTTTGTTCTTTAGAAGCAGGTCACGAGGTTTGTCTTACACTCAAGGGGAGGGGACTGTACATACAAAGTATGATGAGGAACTAGCTAGACATGAGGCTGGGGATGTAGGCAGGGTACCCATGTGGACCATGTCCTTTTGACACCAGGGCACATTTCATTTTGCAGGAGTGAATATCAGAGCAGCAGTGGGAAATGGGTAGAGAAATAAAAGTCTTGGAAGCACAACTCTTGAAATTTAAACAACCTCTAAAGGTAAGAAGTTAAAAAACAAAACAAAACAAAACCATACTCTGTACACACAATGACCAGAGCTCAGCTCTCAACCTTATTGTCTTAATTGATGTAGTAACCACCAATGGGTAATGAAAATGGCCAGAATGCTCCAATCAGTTGTGTACATGTGGCCACTAATATACTAGACCTATGATAAGTGATCCATTTGGCTTTTTAAAACACAAACTATTAAGTTCCTTCTGGAATTAAAATTACCTTAAAGGTGGAAAACAGATTGTACTCATTTTGCTTTTGTTATGTCTGAGATATTTCTAGCCTCCCTTGCACATAGAAAAATCACTGTTAGTTTCACACAATTTAACTTGATAGCAAGATTCTGCTGCAACACCCTTTTGGAAAATGTCCCAGATAAACATTGCTCAAGTTTCCACATAGTTGCAGAGAGAGCTGCTGTGACCACTAGAAAGGTAGGGGTGAGAGGTTTTCACCTGGAGGGTGAAGCAGTTCTGCTTTCCATAGATTCTTTTGTTGGTTTGCTTCCTTCAAAAATCTACTCACCCATTTCCATCTGTGTTCTGCATCCAGTGAGGTAGAGTTAATAATTAAAAAAAGAAGTAGGACACTGTTCTCTTCCTCCTCCTCCTGCTCCACTTCCCCTTCTCTCTTGGTAGTTTTTGGCTTAAGAAACAACATCCTAGGCTTGTGTTCACCAAGAAACAAGTCCTGTTACTTAAGCCCAAGTTTATCTTCATCCAACCAGTTTGTTATTCAGTGAAAATTCTCAACACAGTACGACAATAAGTATGAACCAAGTTTTCAAAACATTTTTTTTTTTTTTACTTCTTACAGATATCTTAAAAAATATGAGCATTGGGTTTGGAAATAATCTGAAGAAATAGAAGGG